AACCTTGAGGTATGGAGATATTGTAAGCTTTTATTTAGATTTTGTTTCTCTGTAAAAGTTTAACTTATATTATCATATTGGGATTATTGTTATTTTGTATTTTAAGTATATGTTCGCTTTTAGCTTACAGGGGAGAGGGTGCTCACAATGAACTGGGGAGAGAGAAGCAATAAAAGTTTGTGTTCACAGTCTCTCTCATCCTAGTTCCACACATCCACTATAAACATTTGCCTTTGTTTCTTTATGTTGGAGATCAGAAAGTAACAAACCCATAATCTACGACATAATATTTGTTGGACCTCTTGTTAGGCAGACCCTCTGGAAATCTGCGTATTCAAGTGCAATGGTAGGGTAGCCCTTGGTTACTACCAGATTTGCCAACAGAAAAACAACAAAAACAGTTTTCTACCTTGGTACACCATGAACAAGAGAACATGGTCAATTAGTAAACCAAGTTCTGTCCACAGCTAGAATAAGGAGAACTTAGATGTTATTTACTTGAGTTACTTTCTGGACCTAAACTGAACAGTCTAAATGTACAGAAATGTTGAGCTTCTTACATATTAACTAAGGGTTATCAATTACATATGCTATCCTTTGACACAGCTTCAAGGAAAATTAGGTTTCACCTAAAAATATTACAATACTGTAAAAATGGGAGAAGTGAAAACTTAAACAAGAGTATGAATCAGTGTGTTTGTAATGTATACAAGGTAGTCGGTGAACTAACAGTCCTAACACAAGTACCATTTTTGCAGAAAAACTGTTTATATCTTACAGATTTGACACAAACAAATCTGTTGAGATGCAGCAAGTTCAGTAAAACTAATTGAACTTTCACACCACCATGTGTGACACCTAGTCATATCATGTATTTCCTACCTATTTTCGTGATATAACTTTTTTATATAATCGAATATTTAGTTTTCTTGCTGTAATTTGACAATATGTGGTCCAGAAAGTCTTTAATATTACGTTGTTCTAGTTGCCTTATTTCTTTGCTCTCTTTCTGGCAACAAGGGCATAGCAGTAACATACAGCATCTTGGTTAAAAAGATTGGCACTGTAACTTTATTTGTTAGGGACAAGTATGACATTGACTAAATGTAACAGTCAACCAATGCAATGAGAGAACAAAGGTCACGAAGTGCTGCTGTCGACTGGTTAAAGAAAGTGAGTTTTCTGTTGAATTCTGGCACTATTTCGTAGTTCAGTTCTACTGGGCGGTTCTAGAGTAAAGACTTACTGTTAAGATAATTTTGTTTAGTTTAATGGAAGTTTATCACAAGAAAGAGAAAGTTGTGTGACTGTAGCACAGCCTAGTATAAATGAATGTCTTTTCGTGTTTGAAAGTATGTATGCTGTGTTTTCTTTTATTTGTTCAATAATAAAGGTTATTTTCATTTTTACCAACTTTGTCCAGTCTCCTTATTTTACACACGCTAGGGAGACTCAGTTAAGTTATCAGATCAGAATCACTCTCCTTGTTTCCTGAAAGTATCTATAGTTATTGACGGATCCATCTATCTGACATGTTTTGGGAAAACAGCAATTTTTACTTTAAAATACCATAACTTTGCAATAGGAATAGATGTATCACGTGCTACTACACCAATAATGCTCCACCCATCAAAACCCTCGAAGCAACATACACACACATTAATGTTTACTTGAGGAACCCATTGTCTTGTTTACTGTGTAATCTGCCGAAAATGTGGGCAACTATATATATGACAAACAGGCCTACATTTTCTTATATTGATACTATATTCATCTCGGTATTTTATAATTTTGTATTTTAAGTTTGTTTATTTGTTCATAATATGCTTGGCTGGCCAATTATAAGATTGACTGAAAATAACAATCGACCAATTTTGCGAGGAAACATAAGTCAGAAGGCGATGAGAAACACTGGATAAAGAAAGCGAGTTAACATTCGGTATCTGAGCACATTTTTCTAGTTCAGTTCTCCATTGATTGACTGACAGGAAGGAACTGCTTTTTTTCTGAAAGAGCTTCGTGTTTAGCTACACATTGGGCTATTTGTGCTTTCACCAATATATGGAATCAAACTCCGGGTTTTAACATTTGTAATCACATAATATTACCGCAGACCAAAAAGGGGCGTAAGTTTACTTTGATATAATGTATATGTATACACACATATATATTGTTTTGGAAATTTTTGTTTTCTTTACTGTCATATTATTCAGTTTTATACTCTATATTATAGTTTCGTTTATTACATTTGATTGTCTTGTATTTGCATCTATTTTTTTTCAGTTATCTTTATATACATACTTATACTAACCGTCT